CCCCTCCTGTCCCCGCACACAAAATCATTGCCCTCACAGTGCGACCAGGCACATAACTAGCTCTGATCGAATGATTCCAAGACACCGACCTTCTCTTCTTCTCCTTCAGGGATCGAGACAACAAAACTGCCTCCATTTGAGCTATTCCCCCCCACAGTTTTAGTAAACTTTTAAAGGCACAACAGGTCATACATGTGCCAAAGACGAAAGGTGTAATTGGAGAGTAAAACAAGAAGATAAGAGTTTTACGGCACTTGCAACACAATGAGGTCATATACATGCCGAAGATTTGAGATTTTTCAAGACAGTAACACAAAAAAATAGAAGGAGAGATAAAGACGATAGATGTTTGATCTGAAAGAAGGTGCGAAACACACAAGAGCACTCGCCAACCACTTTAAAAAAAATGAATATCATATTTAGGAAGGAGAGATTAAAAAAAACCGGAATGCTGTAACCAAGAGAAACAACTTTTTTCAAGCATTCTGATCTAAGTCAATAACATTTAAGAATAGAATTTTGACAAAAAATTCCTAACTATCTTTGAAGCAAAAGATTTTTTCTCGTGTTCAGTTTGTTTTTGGCTCCACTGTAAATTTGTAAAATCTGTATTTACTCATATACTGCATTTTAAAAAAATGACTTCAGAGAAGCCCTCATTTGTTCAAGGTGGAACCTCCCATGAGTTTTCAGTTGTTCTATTTCCAAACATTGGTTTTGTTTTTAGAAGTACAGTATTGTTACAACGGAATATAATTTACGATATTTTTGTGTTGTTTAAAAAAATATAATTATCATGATCATTCCTTAGTTGTGCGTAACCTTAAGTACCTGTTGCACCTTTTATAGGCAGACGTCACACAATGCGGGCCCTGTTTGCCCTCATGATTTACGTACCTATCCGACGCGAAGGCACGCACCCTTAACCCTTCACCGACAGCCCCTTGTTCTACGACCTCGGTATAGTCTCAGAAAGTCTTTGATCCGGCTCTGAGAGAGTTAACAGGACTATGGCTGACTGCGTCTAGGTACAGGCAGCAGGGCACTGGCCACCACAGAGTTAACAGCGGGTGTTTGTCTAATGGTGCGTGTCGCTCTAACGGGACTAGGGCTTCCCAGTTACTTAATACATTGTTGTCTACCCCTGCCTTCTCTTACGGGTAACGGTTCTTTTTTGTGTTCACACTTGATCAGAACCTCTCACACTTGATCAGAACCTCTAAGTCTTAAACGGTTTGGTGTGAGAAGATTCGTCTCTCAAAAAACCCGTCCCTACCTTTCTTCAAAACGGATGAAACATAATAATTCAGTGTGAGGATTCAATTATTTGGTGTCTTTTTTAACTTCTAAAGTGCTGTTGCTGTGTGACTACACATACTGATTAATTTCCCAGGACAAGCTGTTTGGAGTGGCAATGTTCTTAATGATGAGGAAGAAATAATGAACTCACTCGCTGTAGAGTGACGGTGCCACACACACAACACAGAGCACAAGTCTCTTTCTCCGGGAGGTAGTCAAAACGTTTACCAGGTGAGCGAATGAGAACAACCGTCTGGTGGACATAACACTTATTAATTTGTCTTGACAGTCTCCAAATTCCAAGTCTTGTTACCACAATAGGACTCAAGATTTGTCAGTTAAGAACAGTTTACGTAATGTTTGTTGTTTTTGTTTTAGTAAGGTTTTACGGCGCTCGCAACTGCATAAGGTCATATGGGCACCATATTAAGGGGTGGACGTCAACAGAGAAGTCTTTACAGGGAGTCAAGCTTACTCTGCTCACCTCTCTAGCTTCAACAGCACAAAGTCTACTTCGACTATCAAGGCACCCCAAAAATAGCAGTTCACAAGAGAGTGACAAACATACAAAAGAAATAGAGGAAAATTGTATATACTGGAATTTTTTTAATTTGTATTTTTTATCAAGGAATTTTCTAGAATACAGCTATCAGGTGTTTACAAAAATGTTGATCTGTTAGGACAAATTGATACAAGTCACTGTGCAAAAGCTGGAGAGTTTATGTTCGGTAGTTGATGAGATATTTGACAATAAGTTGCACCACGAATTTTTGACCGCACTATAGTATTGATAACGCCGTAACTTATAAAATTTCCCCATCTCTAGGAAGAGCAGATGTCTCAGAGAAGTGTGAGCGTCCAGTCCGGGGATGACAACCATGACGTCATTCATGACGACAATCATGACGACAACCATGACGTCACTCTCGCCGACCTGGAAGAGGATGAGCTGTTCATGGTCCTGGGTCCGGATGAAATCCGAGAGTGGGAGACAATGATGAGCCACAGGTAGTAGAGACAATGACATCTGTCAGTGAGATGAATATGTGAGGCATCGTGGGGGAAATCAGGCGCTCGTTTACATAATAATGAATCAAAGAAACCTTACATTTTCTGGCTGTTCAGCAATAAAACCCCCCAACTGTTTCTGTGCTTTTTTTTGGGCTCAACACCTTTAACCCTATCCGTACGTCGTGTTTTACTATCGTATCCATACGACGTGGGGAACTCTGTGTTTTACTGTCGTATCCATACGACGTGGGGAACTCTGTGCTACCACTTCACCCTATCCGTACGTCGTGTTTTACTGTCGTATCCATACGACGTGGGGAACTCTGTGCCACAACTTAACCCTATCCGTACGTCGTGTTTTACTATCGTATTCATACGACGTGGGGAACTCTGTGCCACCACTTCACCCTATCCGTACGTCGTGTTTTACTGTCGTATCCATACGATGTGGGGAACTCTGTGCCACAACTTAACCCTATCTGTACGTCATGTTTTACTATCGTATCCATACGACGTGGGGAACTCTGTGCCACCACTTAACCCTATCCGTACGTCGTGTTTTACTATCGTATCCATACGACGTGATGAACTCTGTGCCCCCACTTTCCAAAGAGGAAATTTAGTCGTTAATCCGATCCGTACGCTTTGCATAGCAGTCTGTCAAAATGATTTTTTCAGAAATACTGAAAGTTTCAAAGAGATCTCCGTACTAGAAGTATTTTAAAATGTGGAGAATACAACCCCGGGGGTACAAAATGACCCCAGGGAGTACGGATAAGGTTAAAGTCCTTTTAAAAACACATTCTGTGTGGGATTTTACTGAAAAACGTTGACTAAAAGCACAAAAATGTTTAACTTGCAGTTTTCAAAGATCCCAAGCTTTGGAAGTCAAGAGACATTGGCGGCCATTTTTTCGCTAGTTTTACCCCCTGTCTCCAGGTTTACCTGTTACATCAGGAGTCCCCCAGCTCCTTCAATCGCAAAAGTCTTGACTTCTTTCTAAGATAGATGGATATTTTTATTTTACCCCCAAAACAAAACAAAGATTGAAGATGTTTCCATAACTCAATATGCCCTAAAATGGACGAGCACTTGATTCCACCGCGTCGTGACAAGTATGATATTCCTACACCGTTTACTCTCTACATTTCTTCAAACGCTCAGACTGTGGTAACTTCAACAGTTTCTCCAAAAAATTAATTCTGTTGGAACACATTGTTCACTGTTGCATTTTTATATCTTCCACCTCTTGTTTGTATTGTTTATGGTGTTCCTAACCTTATATCACCCCCCCCCAAAAAAAAAAAAAAAAAAAAAAAACCCCAAAACCCAAAACAACAACAACCCCAAACCAAACCACACACACACACAAACACACACACACGTGCACACCCACCCATACACAAACACACACATGCGCACGCATACATTAATTGTTAGTTTTAAACCATCGTTTTTCAGCCAAATATCACCACACCATGAAAAACATTGACAAATAACAACAAAAACTGAATGAGAGAGGAAGAAACTGTTTAATCCTCTATTGAACGGAAGAATACCGTACAAAGACATGTTGCAGAAACTATAGTTGCTATTTTTAAATTCTAGACAGACGAAGAGAGAATTTAAAAAAAAAGGGGGTGTGGCCTTTGCACTTATTAGATCTAATAAGTGCAAGGCCACACCCCCCTACATTTCAACTTGGGCTCAAAATCACTTATGCCAAGCCTGCTTTTTCTTCGTGTAAATGAAGCTCCTTTCTCTTAGAATTTAGACATGCTTCAGGAAGAGCACCA